TATATATATAAAACTTTATTTATTTAAAGTTGACCAGGGAGGGCGAGGAGAGAGTGAGAAAGCAAACCACCAAGTTCGGGACTTGAACCTCGGTCAGCCATGTGGCAGTCCAACACCCTCAACCACCATGCCATCTGCCAGCCCCCAAGCTACCATCTTTTAAAAAAAATTAAAAATAAACCACTTTCCCTTACCTTAGATTTGTGTCCCCTTTAACAATTCTCTCTGCCCCTTCATTACTGACATTCTGAAAGAATATTCTATATTCTGAGCTCAAATCTACAACACTCCCCCCCACTCTCATTTCTCGACCTTCTTTGGTGTTACATTACAACTGTTTGGAAATAATTTTGTTTCCTATGTCATATGCCCTCTTAACTCCTAGATTAAAAGAATTTTAAATGATCTGATTAGTCCTGATTACTGCAGAAATAAACATTAACATCTTCTACCTTGCCTACTATTCTAAATTCAGTAGTGACCAAATTTAAAAAGGAAGCAACCGGGCTGGGATGTAGCGTGGTAGTTAGGGACACTGGACTCCCACATGGCCGACCGTGGTTCAAGTTCCATATCTGGTGGCTTGCTTTCTCACTTTCTCTCTTATCTAATTAAGTTAATTGAAATGATTCTTAAAAAAAAGAATCCTAGAACTGGTGGCTTAAGGAACAAACCAGGCACATGGTCATATGTGCCCCAAAATGCCAGAGATGTTATATCACACACACACATATATATAACTTAAATATATAAAATGTTGACCCATTATAGGTTGAATATCCCTTATCTGAAATGCCTTGGACCAGAAGTATTTTGAATATTGAACACTTTCGGATTTTAGAATATTTACACATACCTGAGATACCTTGTTGGATGGGACCCAAGTCTAAACATGAAATTCATGTTTTATATACACCTTATGTACATAGCCTAAAGGTAACTACCCAGTATTTTAAATAATACTGCACATGACACAGAGTTTGTGTAAACCACAAATTACCAGAAAGCAAAGTTGTCACTATCTCATGTAAACAAACTAGTTGTTTGGTGTCACTATCATTCCTGACTCTAAATTTATACACTATTAAGCAATCATCTTTCTTGCATTTATTCACATGTAAGTACTTAACAGTAAGAAAATAACGTATCATTAATACAGTGAAAAAAATGTGTTCAGGGTAACTAAGCAGCACAGCAATATTGCCAGAATACTCATATCAGCTATGAAACAACTCTCTATGATGCTGTGTTTTGATTTAAAAGGGTACTGTACTTTTTTTTTTTTTTTAGGTGAGAAGAAACATCAGGAACAGTTGAGGGACCAGGAAGTGGGGGACTTAAGGCTGAGGTATCCTGCTAGTGGTTTGTTGTTTCCTCCAATGCCGGTTACATATGTGCTCAAAACCCCAGAATGAGGCAGAGATGAAGGATTGTGGTGTGACCATTCCCCATAGGGAGTACTTTCTCCTCTCCCTCTCTAGAGTACATGTACCCTTTAGCTAAGAAAAAAAAAAAATTCCTTCAGAGTCACCTGCCTCATTGACAGTTTTTGTCTTAGAAATCTTTCCCTGATTTTATTAATGGACAGGATTTCTTGTAGGGTGAGTGTATGCTGTTCTAGTGCTTCAGTAGTTCGTTGCACATTTTCACCATGTTGTCCGCAATGGTTTTTTTTGCAGTGTTAATGTCATCTTCTTCATCACTATTAACACAATCACATTGATTCTGAACTATTTTGGTCCTTTCTCCATTAGTCAATGAATGAAAAATCATAACTGATGTTAAAATTTCTTTGATATCCACTTTTGCAGCTTATTGACACAAAAGATTCTGAAGGTATTTTTTTTTTTACATATGTAAGGTCAGATATTTTTCACATAACAAAGAATTGTTTAAAGTATTTATTAACTTTATTATTTTTTAATTTGACCAGGGAGAGAGAAAGAGGGAATGTGAAAAAGCAAGCCGCCAGGTCTAGGACTCGCACCATGGTTGGCCATGTGGGGGATTCCAACGCCTTTAACCACCAAACCACCTGCCAGTCCCATATAACGAAGAACTGTTCAAAGTTACAACTTGTTCATTATCACGATCACAGCTGCAGGCACATTTGTCTTAAGGGAAAAAGAAATTAAGTTTATTACCCTAATCTTACACGAAACCCAATTTATTAGTTAACATTTTCAACCTCAAAGCTATAGCTTACCTGATCAAGAGTGAAATTTTTCTTATGGACAGCGATCTCAATTCCTAAGACATTGTGGGCTCTCTACAACAGTGTGTTCAGTATTACATCTGCCATGTGCTTCTTTAGAATTTGTCACCTATTTGTGAAAGTTAAAAATTTCCCTTAAAACTTGTGAATCTCAGGCTTTTAATATCAGCTTAGTTCCATATGGAAAGTAAGCAGTATTTTATAATCTACATATTGTCCATTTGCCCATTACTGCTATCAAACAAGGATCACTTTATCATATAACAAGACTCTTTTATTTGATTCCTTCTAGGCTGTTAGATGTTAAGAGTTTGGAAAAATCCTGGAAAAAATAATTAACCCTAGCCACTAAAGGGCAATTTATTCTACAGATAAAGTAAACAACTTAATTTTGCCAATATCCTATCTCTAAAATGTTGACAAAATGAATAAAGATGGGCCAGTCAGCAATAAAACAGCTGGATCCTACATGGCCAAATGCACAGTTGGAGCTCCAGACCCCAAAGGCTTGATAAATACCCTTGAATGTGGGTGTGCATGTCCAACATCCTGAAGAGAATGGAGAAGGGATTGCAACATGGCAAGAGCATTCTCACACCTACCCCATCTAGCCTACATGCCCTATAGCAAATTTAAAAAAAACCGGTGGGGGTAGGGGGGGAAGATAACAGATAAAAGTTACCTAGAATTACCTTTAGAACTCTTAAATGCTAAGATCAGCCCGAAACATTTTACTTACCATCGTTTTATACATAATGTTTAGGTGTTCCAAGAATATGGTATTTACCTGGATTTTCTGCTATGTTTAATAACCCAGGTAGTTTTTTCAGCTTCTGGCAAGCCCATCATCATACATTGGTAAAAAAATGTTACTACATTATCTAATCATTAGCAGCACCTAAAATTTTTTTTATTTTTTTAAAGCCTAACAATAAAACCATTTATTTTTTAAAAAAGAATTATTTTAACTTTATTTATTTGTACATTTATTCTGACTTACCCAGAAACAGATAGAGTGAGTGAGAGAGAGAGAGAAAGTGAGAAAGCAAGCCATCAGTTCCAGGACTGGAACCATGGTTGGCCATGTGGGAAGTCCAGTGCCCTTAACTACCACGTCACCTGCCAGCCTCAAAACCATTTAATATGAACACTCCACACGAAGAACAAAGGTAAGTTAGAGAGAAATCATTGGTTCAGAGCAATAGGTTTAAAAGAAAGCAAATGAATCAGACTTATAGCCCAGGTCTTTATTATTTTTCTTTTTTTTTTTTTTCTTTGAAAGGTTTTTGCCATACAGCATGTGAGCTCACCAGCAAGAGAGACAGTGAAGGAGAAACTGAGAAATCACTGCCTGGGAAGGATGGTCACACAGCAATCCCTTCCCCTCCATTCTCCTCTCAAGATTTTGGGAACACAAACACATGCCCAGCGTGATCTGTAAGCCACGACATCTGGTACTTGAACCATCAGCCATGTGGGAGTCCAGAGCCTTAACCACCTCACCTGTGGCCCTTTGTATAATTTTTGCCAAGCAAAATCTTCAAATGCCATAGATTAAAAAAAGAAAAACAAAGAAAAAGAAAAAGAAAACACACACCAAACAACTCCACAAGCTTTTTTCTCTTTTTTTTCTTTTTGGTCCTCTAACTCAATCCTCTATAAAAGGCATTTTGGGGACCAGCAGGTGGCAAAATGCTTACATCACTGGACTCCCATGAGCGACTGCAATTTGAGTACCAGACCTGGCAGCTTAAAACTGACATCAGGCATGTTTGTATGTGCCCAAAATCTCAAGAGGAGAATGGAGACGAAGGGACTGCAGTATAGCCATCCCTACTCAGGGGTGACTTCACACTTTCTGATAAGTGCATGCTCTTAATAGCAGAAACCTATCCTAAATAAGTAAATAAATAAAAAGACATTTTGGGTTATACATAAGCATAGTATTTAAATAGTACAAAGATGCATGGCTTTTCCTTCTGAACAAACTTAAATTCAGCTATACAGGTGTAGCAGAGAATGCATGTGAAGAGTGCCATCCATCAAGAGCTTCCTTACTGATTTTGAAGGTAATGTCAAGATCTTATCCATTCTTAGAGGAGTTCTACAATTCGTTTTCAAAGTTCTGTTAAAAAAAAAAAAAGAACCCAGAAATAAACAATTTGTTTTTTTTTTTTTTGAGAGATTTTTACTATAGGGTACATGCGCTCACCAGAAAGACAGAGACAGAAAGCAAGAAATCACTCCCCAGGGGGGATGGCCATGCCGCAAACCCTTCTCCTCCACTCTCCTTGGCACACACGTACATGCACCTGGCAGGAGTTAAAGCCTCTGGGTCCAGGATTCAAACCGCGGTCAACATGGGAGTCCAGCAACATAGCCATTACACCAACTGCTGGTCCCAACAGTTTTTATCTGCTTCCCTAAGTCTAGAAAACTTCAAAATTCTAATTAGGAGTGAAGTTTACAGAGAGAAACATACAATACTTAGGTTAAATGTGGCCTGGTGGTTGAGGCAGTTGGATCCCACATGGCCAACCACATGGTTCAGGTCCAGCAGAGCTTGGGAAGTGTGCTAGGCATGTGCACGTGCACTTGTAGCCAAAAATCCCAAAAGGGGAAGAGATGAAGAGGGGATTACAGTATAGTCATGCCCCATGGAAGTGCTTTCTTACTTCCCCTACCCATCCCCAGCCCCCTCAATTAGAAGCACACGTTCCATCTGGCAAATTAAAAAAAAACAAACAAACAAAATCTATTTGATGGTTATAAATAATGAGACACAAACAATATTGCCCTAGAAGACAGGCTAGATATTCAGATCAACTTCATGTTTATTAGTTTTCAATAAAAGTTAGTGATTTCTTTCTCAGAAATATTCTCTCTTCTTCCAGTTTAACTGCTAAATGAGTACTTACTCAAATCCTGGGCTAGTGCTGTATTTATGTTGATCACACACATACTAAAGGCTAACACTGATAACTTTTAAAAAATAATTATTTAATTTTATTTATTCATTCATTTTAATTTGACCAGAGAGAGAGAGAAAGGGAGAGAGGGAAAGTGAGAAAGCAAGCCACTAGATCCAGGGCTCGAACCATGGTCAGCCATTGGGAGTGTCCAGCGCCCTAACCACCATGCCACCTGCTGGTCCCAACACTGGTAATTTTTTAAAGTCATATTTGTAGCTGATAATCTGCCTTCTATAGAAAAAAAATTTAGCCATAATTTACTGCAAACATAATTTACATCAAATTTATCTCCATAATCTTCATCTTCACAAGTGTATGCTATTATTCTTTCTTCATCTAAGAAAATAATTGGTTTGCATGAAGTCAATTTTCAAAAAAATTTAAAAAGGGGAACCAGCAGTTAGTGTAGTGGCTATGTCGCTGGACTCCCACGTAGTCGACCGTGGTTCGTGTCCCAGACCCGGTGGCTTAAAACCCACACTGGGTGCATGTGCGTGCGTGCCCAAGATCCCGAGAGGAGAATGGAGAAGGGACTGCGGCGTGGCCATCCCCTCTGGGGGGTGATTTCTCGCTTTCTGTCTGTTTCTGTTTCTCTCTGTCTGGCGAGCGCACGCGCCCTATAGTGAAAAACGTCTCAAAAAAAAAAAAATTAAAAAGAATATTTCCACCTTTTTTAAAGAATTATTTGTTATGATTATTATTTTTTTTAATTTGACTAGAGAGAAACAGAGAGAGAAAGGGAAAGTGATAAAGCAAGCCACCAGGACTCAAACTGTAATCAGCCATGTGGGAGTCCAGGACCTTAACCACTGTGCCACCTGCCAGCCCCTGTTGTTATTTTTTAATTTAACAGAGATGGACAGAAAGATAGAGAAAGGGAAAGCAAGAAAGCAACCTGCTAGGTTTGATTTGAAGCACGGGCAACACGGGAGTCCATTACCTTAACCACCACACCACCTTCTGGGCCCATGAAGTCAATTTCCAAAATAGGCCAAACATTCATTGATTTTATAATGTTTTACTATTTAACATGTAGAGTGCAAAACCATGAGTATACAAACTATTAATTTTTCTGGCATTTTGATTTATCTACATCTGTACCAGACACAGAACTGATGAGAGCTAGGTGGGTAGATAAACAAAACTAGCTGACAAATTGCACCTCATGGAGAAGGTTCTATTTTAATCACTGATAATAAACATTAGTAGTCATAATGGAATGAAAACTAAAATTCAGATTGTATCTACTATATACTAAAATATTAACAAAATGGCTAAGAACAGGCAAAAGGTTTAGAATGTCTTTAACCTAATTAAAATACTGAATCAGTCCATAAATATTCAAAAATTCACAGTACTAAAATAGAAAACTACCAAATAACATACCATCGTTGCTCTTGACTAGCCATTCCAACTGCACATATGTCGATTATCTTTCATACAAAATGTCAGATCTTCTCTGTGACCTGAAGTCAAATCCCTAAATGATTAAAATATAAACAAAGGAAGGTAACAAACACTTGAACCCTGTTGGGCTATGTGCTCTCTTCTAGCCATTAACACACACAAAGACACTCATTTCTACCCACCCTCCAATATTTACAAAAACTTTAAACGAATGCAAGGTCTTATAACTTGAACTTTAAAAGGTCTGAGTCAACTTGAGCTGATTAACATTTTTTTTTAAAGAAGGAAAGTGAGAAATCACCCCCCAAGGAGGATGGCCATGTCACAATCCCTTCTCCATTCTCTTGGGATCTTGGGCATGCATGCACATAAGCCCAGCCTGAGTTTCAAGCCACCAGGTCCAGAATTCAAACTGCGGTCAGCATGTGGGAGTCCAGCAACATAAACTACTATGCCATCTGCTGGCCCCCTTGACTCACATTTTTAAAAAGGTTAGTATTTTTTGGGACCAGCAGGTGGCATGGTGGTTAAGGTGCTGGACACTCCCACATGGCTGACCACGGTTCAAGTCCTGGACCTGGTGGCTCGCTTTCTCACTTTCCCTCTCTCTCTCTCTGTGTCTAACTCTGGTCAAATTAAAAAAAAAAAAAAGGTTAGTATTTTTGGAGCCTGGCAGGTGGTGTGGTGATTAAGGTACCAGACTCTCACATGGATGACTAGGGTTCTTCAAGTCCTGGACCTGGTGGCTTGCTTTCTCACTTTCCCTTTCTCTCTCCAGTCAAATCAAAAAATAGCGACAACAAACAAAAATAAAGAAACTTTTAAACAAAAAAAAAAGGTTAGTATTTTTAAATTACAAATTCTCAATTCTCGACTTAAGGTAATATGCAACAAAATCAGGAATCTAAACAAATTCCTGATTTTTTTTAGAATATTAATTAATTAATTATTATTCAAATGAGTTTTGCCAGAGAAAGAGAGAGTGAGAGTTAGAA